ATGTGTCCTAGGGTCACAAATGTTCCAGGGCTTTATGCTGAGGCAACAGTGCAAACATGGGAAAGGTCCAGCCTTTACTGAGTTGGGTGGAGCTTTCAAAAGTGCTTGCTCCAGAGTTAAGCCCTCTTGAGTTTTGGGGTGATTTCCATCCACTCAAGTTTGTCTGTATTGTTTACTCTTGATTCCCTTAGAGCAGTGTTTCCCTCACCTCCTTAAGGGTCGTCCTCCTTCCCCAAGCCTCTTTCAGAGGTGTCGCCACCTCCAGAAAGTCCTTACTCCTCTTTGAGTTCTGGGACAAGTGGGCAAGGAGCCAGGCTCACTTCAGGACAGCATACCCTCTGTGCCCCACCACATCCCCTCTCCCTTTCCTTGGCTACATCAGTGAGCAGTGGGACCCAGGAAACCCACAGCTGCTCTATATCCCAGCTTCATTCATGCAGAATTTGGCCCAGAGCCCATCTCTCATGTCCTCAAGTGGCCTCAAGTGTCAGGTGACTAGATCTGGTTAAGAGAAAAGAATATGGGGCTGGAGCAATAGTACAGTGGTGAAGGCATTTGCCTGGCATGTGGCCAGTCCTGGGGATGTCCCATATGGCCCCCCCAATCACTGCTGGGAGTGATCACTGAGTGCAGAGCCAGGAATAAGCCCTGAGCATTGCCAGGTATGTTCCCCAAATAAAGAAAACTCCAAACAAAACTAAAAGACCCAAAAAGCAACCCCCTCAATAAAACCCACCCCCCAAAAAAACCCACAACCATCACCCCTCCCCCAAAGGAGAAAAAGAATAAAAAGAGTATTCTGTGTCCTCTTCTGGTGGCTGGAGTTTTGTTGCCTACAGCCCCTTGGCTCTCCAGGAAACAGTATCTGCCAGTGCTCAGACCTGCTATTCACTCACTCTGCACTGCTCAGTTCTAGATCTTCAGAAGTCATGGGTGGGGCGGGGGTGGGTATTGGTGGAGTGTGGGATGGTAACAAAGTCAATACGAAAAGAAATACTCATCCCTTCCCCTTGGCCAGCAGGAGATGCCAACCAAGACAAGCCTCTTGGACAAGGCTCACTTTGCCTTCGCCCCATGCAAGTCTCGTTTTGCCTTCACTCCACGATACCTGAGCAACACTCCAGCTCCCTTCAAACTCTCTGGGCCTCTGTGCCTTGCCCTCCCCCATGAACCATCACTAACCACTCATAAAACCCAGAAACTGATGAGGAGGGTGAAGAGAGGTTTACCGTGGGGTTTCTCAAAGCTATTGGCCAGCAATTTCCTACATGGAGGCAGTGGGAGCCAGGCGCTGAGTCACTCTCCTCTGGCCTGCCATGAGCTCCATTTAACAGGTGAGAAAACTGAGGTACTGAGACAGTAAGTTACATGCCCAAGATGTCAGGGGTAGCAAGTGACAGGCTGTGGATGTGCCCAGCTGCTGCTGCCCCATGCCCTGCAGAGACACCCCTAAAGGAGCAACTGGTCCCAGGCCACACCAGGGGTCTTTAAAGGTGACTTACCCCATGAGGCATCCTTCACCAGAGGGGAGTCCCATGGGTGAATTGCAATGGGGTAGGGGTCCCCTCAGGCCTCACTCTCTAAGAACCCAGGTCTCATTCCTGGGGGAGGGGTGAGCCCCCAGTCTAAAGTTGCATGAAGTGACAGGATAACAGCTCAGCACACCAGACTGAGGCCCCTGCTCAGCAGTGCCCATCCCCCCGTGTCACCCACTGTGCAGCTCCACAGTCACCCACTTTTCTGGGGCCTGAGGTCAGGGTGTCGAATGTCTGGCTCATCATTCCCAATCCTGTCGAATCCCAGGGCTATGGGGGCTTGTACCTGGGCAGCAGGGATGAGTCGGGGTTTGTGGGTACTACCCTGTCTTTTCCACCTGTTGTGGAGCAGGTGTATCTCCTGGGGAAATTCTGGGTCCTGGAGCAGAAGCAGCCAGAGCATGAGAGCAGGTGTGTGTGTGTGTGTGTGTGTGTGTGTGTGTGTGTGTGTGTGTGTGTGTTTGGGAGAGGCAGCAGCAAGATTTCTGTTGGAGCCGGCACATGCTAGCTGACCTTGGTGGCCAATCACCCCTCTGCTCTCTAGCTATCTCAGGGTTGACCCTTTTCTCTCAGGAGGTGGAAGTCTCAGGTAACAGGAACAATCTGGGCTGGTTTCAGAGCAGCCACTCCTGGCACCTCTGGCAGCTGTCACCTTGGCCACTCGCTGCCCTCTCTCTGCTCTGGCATTGTTCCTGCTCTGTCTCCCTCTCTAGTTGCTCATACTCTAGATCTACTGCACGGTCTCTATCTCTCTGTCTCTATTTATCTCTGTCTTTCTGTTTCTCTCTCTGTCTGTCCCTTTCTCTTTCTCTTGCTCTCTCTGTCCTATGTTTCTCTGTCTTTGTATCTGCTTCTGCTGTCTCTCTGTCTCTGTCTCTCTGTATGTCTATCTGTCTCTCTCCCTTCTCTATTTCTCTCTCATGCCTTCCCCCAGGCTCTTGGCTCACCTTAGTGGCCTGGAGCAGATGAGGGTGACAACCCCTTTGTCTGACCATACCTTTCTAGCTAGTTCCCTCTGGGCTTCCTCCTCCCTCTAGTTTGCTCATTCTCTAGGACCCCTACATTCTTGGAGAACCCTCTTTCATAAGGATGCAGCACAAAGCTGGCTCTATGGTGAAGTGTCTTTCCTACACTCCCAAACTCTCAGAAATTCAAGTGATAGAGACTCGCTGTTTCCTCTGAGTCCAGGTCATGGGACCCTATTCTCATGGCCCAGCTGTTTAGCTCCAAACTAAGAACTCATTCCCATCCCTGATTCCCAAACATGCCATCAGGCTACAGCCTCTTCCAACCAGGAGCCTAACTGCTCAGTGTGGGAGAAAATCGAATACATCTACTAAAAGCCATACAGAGCCTCAGGGTTCTCATCTGCCAAATGGGAACAGGAATAGTGTGCCAAGGCTGGGGCCAGGGCTCAGCACTTAGCAGCGGAGCACTTATCTTTCATGTTTGAGACCCTGGGTGTCATCCCCAGCACCACAAAATAGAAAAGAAAGAATAAACGATTTCCTTGGCTCTCTCTACTCAAGGGGTTGTCCAAATCCAGCCCGATGAGTTATTTCTCTCCCTTCACTTTATGGGACTGTCTCAGGCTCTCCCTAGATTACCCTCACCCCTATATTATAGAAATAACAAGGACAGGGAAGGAAAGAAATAAATGGGGGGAGTAAGAAGAGGGTGCTAGGAGGTCACGGGCAGGGGCAGCGACCTCAGACACTTCGGTGGTGTATCGGTGTGGAACATGAGTATAACTGGACCACAGAACCAACAACAATGCAAGCATGAGACCCGAATGACAACAACCAAACTTTAAAATATGCCTGCTAAGGATTCAGGCAGGGGGTGGGGGGTGGGGGTAGGGGAAGGGAAGAGAGAAGGGGGTGGGGTCGGGTGGTGGAGGGAAGTTGATCCTGATGCTGGGATTGGCACTGGAACATCTTATGCCTGAAAATCTATTTATGAACAACTTTGTAAATCACAGTGCCTAAATACAAAAATGTTTTAATTAAAAAAAAACAATTTCAGACAAGTTGTAGAAAGAGCAGCACCTGAGCTGGTGGTTCTTGTGAGACCTTGAATGAGGGCCCTATGGCTGTCCCCAGGGCATGGGACCTAAGTGGGGGAGGCTTGTCTGGCTCAGCCTGACTCCAGCTGTGTTCTGAGGCTGGATGGAGGAGTGTGGGGGCAAGAGGGGCTGGTGTTTATGGTACAGAGCAGCACCCCATGGCCTGGGTCACTGCACATGAGCACACAGCCACTCACAGTCAGCTGGGCATGGCAACTGGACGTTCTCGGGTGCTGCTGGAACAGCTCCCACACATAACTGCAGGATGTTGCCACCGCCCCATGTGGACACCGGCCTCAATCCTGTATGCCACTGTCCTCACTCTGCTCCTCACTCATAGACCACCTGACCATAGGCCCCTCAGTGAAGACTCAGATAGTTCCCAGGGCAGACTTCCAGTCTCCCTTGCAGGCCTGGCTGGTCAATAGTTACCAGACCCTGCTAAAGGAGTATCTGTCCCTGCAGAGACTGCCTTGGGGACCTCGACTGGGGCCAGGCTCCTCTGTAGCAAAGTCGAGTCATTCAGTTTATGTCTGTGTGTGTTTGTGTTTTGTAGGGGGTGAATGTCTATGCCTAGCTCTGTGCTTAGCAATCACTCCTTGAGGGTTCCGGGATCATTTGTGGTATCTGTCACTGTCACTGTCCTCCTGTTGTTCATCGATTTGCTCGAGCAGGCCCAGTAACATCTCCATTGGAGACTTTGTTGTTACTGTGTTTGGCATATCGAAAACATCACGGGTAGCTTGCCAGGCTTTGCCGTGCGGGTGAGATACTCTCGGTAGCTTGCCGGGCTCTCCGAGAGGGGCGGAGGAATCAAATTCGGGTCGGCCATGTTGACTGCGTGCAAGGCAAACGCCCTACCGCTGTGCTATTTGTGGTATCACACACTTGAATAGGGTCAGCCAGACAAGGCAAGACTGTATCCCACTGCATTCTCTATGAGCCCCTTGTCTTCATTCCGAAGACAAAAAGATAGGGCTGCAGAGTCCCAACTTTTATTCAACCATGATCCAGCTCTCTGACACAGCCCAATGTCCCACCCCTATCCCACACCCCAGACGAAGAAAGAACAGGTGACATGGAAGTGCAGGAATGGCGTTTTATTTGGGGAGGGGAGTAGAGCAGGGGGCCGTAGTCCCAACTGTAAAGGTATTCCAGCAGGCTCAGACTTTGATTCTGGCTGGGTGTGGCAGCACCTTCACAGAGGGAGATGCCAACCAGGGATCCTGGTCAAGACTCTGGAACCAGTCTGCAAGCAGACTTAGTGGTTAGAGCATGGCCGACTCTGGCTTCATCCAGGCACCCATGGAGGAGCCCCATGACCTCACCACACCCTCAGACTCTACCCCAGGACCCTCACCAGCTGGGGGCAGCACCGCGCTCAAACCCAAGCTCTGTCTTCAGACTCCAACCTGGACTCCGAGACGAATTTCATCTGCCCAGACAAAAACAACAGAAAACCTCAGTCTTCAGGTCTCCACCAAATAGTACCCAGACAATCAATGGCTGCCTCTCTTTGTGCTCTACCTTGCAGGGGCGCCACAAATGTGATGCCACCTATCTATCCTTGATTGTCTGTCTGTAAAGTGGACACATGAGGGTGCCCTTCCAAGGGGGCTTTTGAGAGGATCCAATGAGATGAATGTCCAAAAACTGAACCAGAGGCTCTTTCCTACCAGATGTGGAACCTTCACTGACCCCATTGCTCTAGTCCCTGTTGCCTGGCATCCCACCCTGCCAGGAGGACCAGGACCCAAGACCACTCCAGTGTGTGGAGAAGCCCAGCTCCTCCTCAGAAGGAAAGCAGGGGTGGGCTTGGAAACACTGCTTCCTCCAGAGGGGCACTTCTGCTGTTTCTAACCCATGTCTCAGCAAGGAACAGCCCCTTCATCAGGAACAAAATGGGGAGCAAGGGGTTAAGTCACAAGCCACACAGGTGCTTGACCTAACACTTAAGATTAGATCTCCATCCAGCCTATCTGCTATCATAGACCACTCTGCCAGTCACTTCAGCAATAAGGGAGACAGAAGAGATGTCTCCAGGCCCCCAGAACCCCCTCAACCCCTTAGATTCTCAGGACAAAAGGTCCTTCTTCCTCTCCAGGGACACCGAACCTGGGAAGGAAGCAGCTTCCCCAACTGAAGTTCCACTTACTTAGGATGTTCTTGATGATGACACCAACCTGGGATTCAATCACCAGGTGAAGCAAGGGGCACGCCTGAGGGGGTGAGGAGAGGAGGGTAGGTGAGTGTCCACTGGGCACACATGGAGACGCCCCTTCCATGGTCTCTCAGGGCCTTTGATCTTTAGGACTCAAGAGCAACAGGAACTTAGAAACCCCACATCTGAGAAAAAAGGCTACTGGGACCCAATAAACCCAGCACAACAGAAGCCAGGGAGCTTGGAATATGCAATTCCCACATCCCTGCAAGGTTTATTTCTATCCTTCATAGAAAAGCAAAGCTTCCTTTAAAAAGTTTAGGGTTCTAGGGAACGTATAAGTAATTGGGCGGAGATGGAGCGATAGCACAGCGGTAGGGCATTCGCCTTACAAGCGGCCAGCATGGCCGACCCGAGTTCGATTCCTCCGCCCCTCTCGGAGAGCCCGGCAAGCTACCGAGAGTATTCGATATGCCAAACACAGTAACAACAAAGTCTCCAATGGAGACGTTACTGGGCCCGCTCGAGCAAATCGACGATCAACGGGAGGGCCTTTACCTCGAGCAAAGTAATTGAAGTTATGTTAACAAAGGAGAATATTAACTATAAAGGCTAAAAAATGAAATGCGTGAATATGGTAGATGCTTCAGCTTGGCTTCCAGAAAGTTGACTAAAGGTCAGACCCCGTCCAGACTGAGCCAAAATGAATGTGGCTTCCCATTGACAGTCTTCAGAGGGAAAGTGGTCAGAGAGGCAGCCACCCTATCAAGACCCCGTCTGTGTCTGAACCTCAGGAAGGGGGACTCACAGCTTTCTCTATCACAAAGCTCACGATCTTCTTGAGGGAGAGCATAGAGTCCGCCTGGCGGTTGAGTGCAGGGGCCTTGCTGGAAGAGAGAGAGAACAGGGTGAGCTACCAGCAGCTACAACTCTTATATCAGTGCTGGGCCACAGAGACCCCTTGAAAAGACATAGCCTCTTGCAGGGATCATCATAGAGCCCCGCATCTAAGGGGAGTGGGCTGACTCAGCCCGTTCCGACAAGACTCCCATCAAAACTCCCACTTGTCCCAACAAGACAATCCATTCTTCCAGGCACTGTTCATTTCTAGCACTTCCACAGGTGCCAGTGCCCAGCTCAGCTGGGGCTCCAGAGATGAACCAAGCACAGGCACCTCCAAAATGGAACCCAAACACTAGCACACCTTGCTGAGATGCACTCCTCCTGGGTACTGTTTATCATCACCCCTACCCACTAGTCCCATAAGAGAGGACTTTGATGCCCCAGTCTCCTCAGTGCACTGCTCTGCCCAACACTTCTCAAAGTCTGGCCTGTCCCTGGAGGCCCCTTTAGCATATGGACTCAGTGCTCCTCCGGAGCCTTTCTCTGGACCATAAGCTGCAGGAGTGCAGGGGATGAGTTCGTTGCTACCGATAGTTTCTCCTGTGCTAGAGTCAGTTCTCAGTTAACAGAGGCACTGGACATTTAGGATAAAGAATGTGTGACATTGACATACAATGAAATCTAAAATGATACCCCATGCCATGGATAGGAATGGTCCTATACAACAGAACAGACTGAGCATATATCTTGTGAGAAAGAAAAGGCATTGGAGTAAGTCAAAGGTGTGTGATCACAGAAAGAGGGGCCAGTGGGTGGAGCAAGGCCAGAGAGAGCTAAAATAATCAGAGTCTAAGGAGGCAAAATGGAAATGAGGACAGGGAGGATTGGAGAACAGAATAGGAATGCATCTGCTCAGGTGGACAGGAGTCCCCAAAAGGCAGGAGGACTCCCTCAAACTTGCCCCACTCTCCAGAGGGTCCAGTCCTCTGCACATCTGGATCACCCATTGTTGCTAGGATGTTGGCAGTGAGATTTCTTGGTAGGTAGGTTGGAGCAACCTGTGTCCTCACCTTTAGGAGCAGGACAGAAGCCGATGCTTTGGAGCTGAGGGTTACAGAGTAAGGCCTTGCATCCTGCAAAGTCAGTTCAACCCTCCATTTCCAGACCTTTTCTCCTCCACTGGTCATGACCAGGACTGCCCTCTCCTATTCCACTCTTTTCCAGGGTGAATCCTGCCCTATCAAACACACTCGTCAGGATTTACATTTTATAGATGAACAAGGACCAATATTTTCAAACAAGTTTTCAATATTTCACTTTGGGATTTTTCCAGTGGGTGGAGGACAATTTGAGAATGAACTGAAATTAGAGCCCTGGAGAAATATCTTGTTCTCCTCTTCCCTTCTATCAACTAGAGGAGAAGGGGAATTCAATTTATTACCATTATTCTTACTTTTGCGTTGCTTGAACTTCAAAAATATATGAAACAGGACTTGGGAGATCTCAAAGGGCTGACCCAAGCTTTCTGGGGCAGGAGTCTAGGGTTCAATCCCAACATGAAACGGTCACCTGACCACCTCTGGAGCAACTCCAAGAACTGGGAGCAGGGAGCAGTCCCCAGGACCACCACATGTGGCCCTCAATACAAAACTATGACATGAACACCAGGAGTGCTGGAATTTTGAAATCTACCAAATCTGCCATTAGAGCTCAACAGCCTGTTCTGAGTCATGGGAAGATCAAAACAGAGGCCAGAGAAGACATGTCAAAATGATTATTGAGTACTTAGTGTGGAGCCATTCGTAGTCTCATCTGACAAGCTTAATAGTCTGTATTACTGTCAAAGCCAGTTCCTAGGGGCAACTGAGGGTCAGTGGCCACGTTTATGAAAAAGTCTCACATTAGTATTACAGCTGTTACTGAAACCAAGGTCGGTCTGACTCGAGTCTAATTCATTTTCTCCACATGGTACAACTTTCCAGATACAGAAATGAGGCTGACATTCAGATGCCCTGCTATCTGATGAATGGGCCTTACCCATCAATCAGGATGAGCTTGACGCTGGCTGGGTCACTCCTGCATTTTCCTTGCACCACTGTGGGGTATTCAGACTCGGTATCTTCCACTGTGACAGAACTCAGAAGGTCCAGGTAAACCTCCAAGTTAGCCAACCTTCCAACAAAAGGCCTGAAAAAAAAGATTTCTGGTGAGCAGAAGGCTAGAAGGTCTATAAGGTCCCACTTGCTTCTTCCCATGGCTGCCTCATCTCCCAGAGGTCCATGAGTCACACCAGCAGTGTTCAATTGTTGGGGGAGGAGCATACTGACACTGTGGGCTGCGTCTCCTTGCCAGGAAGTTCAGATTCATGTCAACTTCTAGAACTTCAGCCCAATAACTAAAAAGGTAAAGGTAAAGGTAAAGGCCCTCCCATTGATCATCGATTTGCTCGAGCGGGCCCAGTAACGTCTCCATTGGAGACTTTGTTGTTACTGTGTTTGGCATATCGAATACTTCACGGGGAGCTTGCCAGGCTCTGCCGTGCAGGCAAGATACTCTCGGTAGCTTGCCGGGCTCTCCGAGAGGGGCGGAGAAAGAACTCGGGTCAGCCATGTTGGCTGCGTGCAAGGCAAACGCCCTACTGCTGTGCTATCGCTCCAGCCCAATAACTAAAATGATGTAAATTAATGATGGAGCACAAAGGATGCTTGGAGTACTTTAAAAAGAGTTTTAGGCAAAACATTAGATAGAGATTACAGAAACACCATGAGGAAAATGTATTATTATTATTAATAATAATTCCTATCTTTAAATGATCAAGCCATGTGGTACAGCATTGGGTAACAGTCTCTAGGTCTCTTAACTGAAGAACGAAGGTGACATATTATGTTAATCATTGATAAAGATAGTATGGCTCCTGCTCATTTTCCTAACTCTCATAAAGGACTTTCAAGTTACATTTTTCACATATGCTGTTTATGTGTGTACTACCATGCTGTATAAAAGTACCTATATGGATCTAGAACACCTCTACTCCTTAGAGGGAGTCTCAGGAAACAAAAGAATTCCTGAGGCAAATACCAGAGTAAAATTTGCTCATGTTCTCTCAATTCTTCATACTTTATTTAGAACACAGAATTCCTTTTAAAGAGTCTTGGCTATGGCCTGAAGTGCTGAGAACATGTTAGTGGTAAAGGTTTGTGGCTAGAAAAGTAACCGGTGATTCATGAGGCTGAGGACCAGAGTTTGTAAGCAGTGTGTGAGAATTCGCTTGGAGCCCCTCAGCAGGACACATTCCCTTTCCCAGACCCCAGAATGGAAACGCAAACTCACAGGGCCACGGTGACATTAGCTGTGACGGGGAACCTCAGGTCGATGATGTTGTCCTTAGGGTTCACTTCCAGCTTCACATCCAGGATTTGGACGCCAGTGAGTTGCGCTCTGTGCAAATCCCACAGTTGATGGGTGTGGAGAGAGGTCAACAGGATGAGTGCAGGCTTTGCCTGCAGGAGGCCCCAGTTTACTCCCCAGCAATGCATGGTCCACCCAACACTGCCAGAAGTTGTCCCTGAGCATCGAGTGGGGAACCCTGGGGACCATTGGCTGGAGCCCCCAAACCAAAGCAAAGCAAACTATATAATGGAGTGTGCTCTATGCCTGAGCTTTGGTTTTCTCTCTCGTGGGTTTGGGAGAGAATAAATCTTACTCTCCTTAGCTGTAATGGAGAAGAAACATCTGAGTCCCTGGGAAAGGAACTCAAGCACCAGCAAACTGGTGTTGATGGCATTGAAAAGAAACTTCACATGGAAGGTAAAATGACACAGTGTGAGCACTCAATCCATGAGGCCCCCCACCTACACCCCACCTCTGATTTACTCAGGCCACGGGCATCTGTCTTACACTCTCTGGTCTTGGTGAGGAGAGACCACCTTAATTCACTGCAGTCTTTGAATTCCCTCACTGCCCCACATATGGAGTCCCATACCAACTCACCCCAGAGCTCCGACATCAGAGATGACACTGCCCAAAAAGCTCTTGGTTCCCTGGACAGTACTTGTGATCCCTTTCCAAACACTGGATTTCTGAATTTTGTTCAACTCAGCCTTCAGTGTCTGAGTAAGAGCTTGGGAAAACAATCTGCATTTAGTATTACAGACGAACCATGTGGGAATCAGCAAACTCAGGCTTCATTGCTCTCAATGAGCTATTACCACCAGTTTGAAACAGGAGGTAAAGTGCCACAAGAGAATAAACTCTGACATGGAAAATCTAGAATCGAGGTATTGCTCATGCTCTTGGAAAAACAAAGCTAATTACTACAGTGACAGTTCTATTAATGCATTAATTCATATGGGAGCAGGAAAATAGAACACTGGACTCTGAGGTCTTCAATGAAAAGAAGAATTAGAATGACTGACATGGCAGATGACACATATGCAGGAGAAAGCCTCTGGATGTTGAAAAGCAGTTGATTTGAGAAACAAGACAGTCACTGAATAAAAGAACAACAGAAAAAAAATGTTTTCCCATAGGTGGTGTGCACTGTGGACCTGCACCCTGACTATTTCTATTTAATGGACAGTATCATGATGTGAAAGAAGAAGCCAGAACCCCAAAAATCATATCTGGTCTCAGTAGATGACCGAGGATTTTCTGTATCTGAGCTCAGTTTCCCTGGTGGTGAAATTAGACGATAAATCCTTTACGTATCTTTGAAGAGCCTAAGTCTTGCCTAAGGTTTTCAAGGTATGTATGTACAAGTTTCTACTATAAATAATATTTCTTCATAGGATGACAATGTTTCCAGAAAATGAGAGTCAAATATTTTAATAAATCAAAACAGGGGATAAAGAGATAGTTCATGGATTAGGGTCCTTGAAACATGTGGCTAGTGCTAGAAAGATCCTCAGACCCACATATAGGTCCCTGAAAACTCCCAGAATTAATCCCTGAGCACTGTTTGGTATGTCCTCCATCATCACCCCTGCCCCAAAGATATTAGTATTTAAAAGGGTGTCAGAATAAATATTTAATTCTGACACCCTTAATTCAGCAGATTTAGGGGTGAGGAAGCTAGCACTCTTAGGCTACTGGGCAAGTTTTCATCTGAGGCCCTATCCTTTATCTCTTCTCCACATGGAGTCCCAGCATCTCTTGAAGCAACCCTCAGGCAAAAGTCAGGGAGTAGGGCCTGAGCACTTCCAGATGCAACTGCACCCTACCAAAAGGGGAAAAAAAGCAGGGTAAGCTGTAAAACTTCCTTGGCCTGTTAGTACTAATTTTAATTTGCAATTAGTTAAATAATATACCGTAACTGTCCTCCTGTTGTTCATTGATTTGCTCGAGCAGGCCCAGTAACATCTCCATTGTGGACTTGACTGTGTTTGGCATATCAAATATGTCACGGGGAGCTTGCCAGGCTTTTCCATGCGGGCGAGATACTCTCTGTAGCTTGCCAGACTCTCTGAGAGGGGCAGAGGAATTGAACCCCAGTCAGTGGGGTCAGCCACGTGCAAGGCAAACGCCCTACCGCTGTGCTATCGCTCCAGGCCCGAATACATCAAAGTGAAAATCAAACTGCAACATAAGAATATGCAAAAAATATAACAATTTCATAAGGAGCAAAGAACTAGCAAAAAAGCCAGAGCACTTGCTTTGCTGAAGGAGGTTGGGGTTAGATGCCAGGCCTCAATGGACCCTTGAGCACCTCCAAGAATGACCCCCATTCCACTGATCTGGACATAATTTCTAAGAACCACTGAGTGTTATTGAAAAATAGTAACAATGCTTCATTAAAAACATACAAGAAGCTAATAGATGTTTATTTTTATAAAAATACAGTGAGTTCTGTCACTGCTAGAAAAATATGAAGTGAAATGAGTTACAATCTTTCATTAATAAGATTACAGAACATTTAAATTACCATAGTGATATTTTTGAGGAAGTGATACTTTAAAGGCACTGTCCCAGACTTTGGCAAAAATGTGGACTTAGTGTACTATTTATAAGCATCTACCAGAATTAAAAATGTGCATTCCTCAGAGAGCTAGGACAAGAGGAAGTCACTTGCTTGCCTTGTGTGCCAATGTCTCCATTGCAGCCTTGGTTTGAATCCCAGGTAACACACCTGGTCTTTGAGACCTGCCAAGATCACTCCTAAATATGGAGCCAGGAGTAGTCTCCAAGCTTGCTGGCTGTGACCCAAAAGCCACACATACAAAATTTTTTAAGGTTCTCATTGAAACTTTAAAATCCTAGAATTTCAAAAATTTTAGAAATTCATCCTACACACATATTGAGAAATATTATCATCCTATAATGTTAAAGGATGTTCAGTAATCATTGATTATTTCAGGAATATATGAACCAGGAATTCAAACTACCCAGAAACACATAATCAGGACTTCAAACTACCTTTTAAGACCACCCGGGGAGTGTATAGCAACGAGGCAGAGGGATTGGGAACTGGAGTTAGCCAGCCCTGAGGGGTTTACTTACATCCAAGTCCTTCCTGAACTTGTCCAAGTTCCACATTTTCCAGCACTCCAGTCTTCTCTGGAAAAAGACAGGTTTAGCATTAAATGATATTTGTTGCTCATTGCTCATTTCAGAGGAATAAGTGAATGAAGCAGGATTTCAAACAACTTTGTAGCACCCCCTGGAAAAGGCTATAGCAATGCAAGGTTAGAGTTGAGGAGACTGGCACTTAGGAACCAGCCATGAAGGGTTAACTTACGTTCCAATGCACCACTAAGTCCTTCCTGAACAAAGTCTTGATGCTGAATTCCCACAAGTTGAGACTGGGAGGTTCTGGCCAGCAAGCCACACAAGAGAACCAATTTCCACATCTTATCCTAGGAAAAGGGATCTAGAATAAGCACCTGTCACTCTTCCCCTGAACATTCCTTCCATCTAGATGGCTGTGATGATCACCTACTTTACAAACACCCAGCCCAGGGTTGAGAGCTGGAAGCCAGTCTGCCCAGAGAAACAGAGCTAAGACTGAAGTTGTGATTTGGAGACTGCACCTGATGCCGAGTCTGTCCAGGAAGGGGCCTGGGGCCCACTGGCTTCTCCACCTACAACTTTCTTCTTATTCACGTTCCCACCCAGGCCCTTCTCAAGGACTCTCCTACTTCAGTGGGGCACCAGGTGCTCTAAAAGCCCACTCCAGACCCTTCCCCAGAGTCTAGTTTGGGGGGAACCCCACCGCCCATCTTGCTGCCTTTGTTCTCCTAGGGAATCTTAAATTCATGATATCTTTTGGGGAATTTGTCTTCCTCTCCAGGCTGGGAACTCCTCAGAGGGACCCCATGATATCTCCCTGCTGAAATTCAACACCCCAGTACATAGCCTGTACACCGTGCAACAGAGAAGCAAGCACTGAACATAGTTATGAATATGAATTATGCACCATGCCCTTCTCTCTCATGCCCATTGGCACTTGTAGCAGATTTATCACCTGATTTTCTATCTTCAAAATTACAGTTAACTCAGTGGCAACATCTCTCTGCTTCTTGACCACAAAGTTTGCTGCAGACCAGCATATGAGGAGACATCAGGGATCAACTTACCACTCACAGGTCAGGAGGAGGATGCTAAGGAAGCCTTGCTCCACTGCACAGTCTCTGTGAATCAGCCTGGTGGAGGAGGCCCTTTTATGACAGAAAAGCAATGGGAGTGCCCCCAGGGACTTAAGCCCTGGTTCCTGGATGACACAAGGACACTCCTAAGAAAATAATCCCAGGATGAGCAAAGATGTTTCCAAACCTAAGGCCACCCGGATATTTAGGTTGAAATTGATGGACATGGAGAAGACTCTGCCAAAACTAAACCCTGGTATCCTTGGAGTGTCCAGGACAGTGACCTTTGGATGGGCTCTGGATCAAATAATGGGAGACTATTTCCAGAGGGAAGATCCATAGCGATCACGGGGCCCATTCTGTCATCACTTGGAAGCGGGGGCTCAGAGATGGCAAACAACCTGTGCAAAGCCACGCAGTTGGACAATAAGGAGCAAGGACGTGACCTCTAGTGGACTCGGGTTGGCTACAGGAAAATCGCCAACTCTCCTCTGAGGCCTCGGGGCTCCCCGCAGAATCTCTCCCATGAAGCCAGCCTCAGTACAGGTGTTTCAATGATTTAGGGAGTTAACCCAATGGCAGCAGCCTAATACGCCCCAAAGGCTGCTTGTCCCATCTGGTTGAAGAAAGGTCCTCCTGAGAGTGAATCAAACCTCAATGTCTCCATCCATCCTGGTGACAGTGACATCCATAGTTCATGTGAGTCTCAGACCAGGATCCACCTCCTGATCACCCTCTACCACTGTCCCGAGTTTACAGGCAGGAGAGGACTCTCTCCACTCAAGTCTCCCCCTGGACTCAGGAAGTCTGTCATCTGCTCACTCACTTCTGCCCCAGCTCCCGACCCACCATCTCTCCCCCAGCCCCATTCTTCCTCCATTCCAGGCTAATGTCACACAAGAATGCCAACCTCTTCCCAGCCTTTGGCCCTACTTGGACTATTCCACACTCTCTCCCCTGCTGTCTCTGTCTGGCCATGTCACTTCCTTATTCCTTCCCTGACTACTCATTGAGGGAGTCTTCCAGACCTCCTAGGCTCCACGCTAGTTCTCTAATAGTAAACCATCCCAATATCATTTTCTTACACATTCTATTCAACTTGTTTCAACCTTTGTTCTGAGTCTTCTTTTGTGGACCCTCAAAAACCTGACTTATCTCCAGAATGTTCAAATGTTCCTTTTCTGGTTTGTCAAAAAACCCAGTCGTCAGCTGAGAAAGCAGTAGGTCCTCATCACTAGAAATGCCTGGAATTGAACTCAGTGACCAGTGACTACTCAGTGTGTGGCTTGGAGGGGCTGTAAGAATGATTCTAAGCTGCCTGATCTGGTGTTCATAGAGTATGATTGCTCTCCTAAAAGAATAAGAGTATAACATATATTATATATATGTGTGTGTATGTGTGTATATGTGTATATATATATACATATATATACATATATGGAGCGATAGCACAGCAGGTAGGGCGTTTGCCTTGCATGCAACTGGCTGACCCAGGTTTGATTCCACCGCCACTCTTGGAGAGCCCAGCAAGCTACTGAGAGTATTCGATATGCCAAAAACAGTAACAAGTCTCACAAGGGAGACATTACTGGGCCCACTCGAGCAATCGACAAACAATGGAAGGACAGTCCTCCTGTTGTTCGTCCATTTGCTTTAGCGGATGCAGTAACATCTCCATTGTGAGACTTGTTGCTGTGTTTGGCATATCAAATACGTCAAGTGTAGCTTGCCTGGCTTTGCCGTGCAGGCAAAATACTCTCAGTAGCTTGCTGGGCTCTCCGAGAGGGGCAGAGGAATCAAACCCAGCTCCTTGGGCCAGCAGCTTGCAAGGCAAACGCCCTACTGCCGTGCTATCACTCCAATATCTATATATCTATAGATATATAGATATATATTACATTTTCTATATCTCTCTCTATCTCTCTCTCTCTATATATATATTACATTTTCTCCTCTACTTTTCTTTCTCCCTGAGTCCATCTGGGAGATGGTTCCTTCAGACTTCCTACCTCTTTCTCCTCTCACTCTCCACACCTGCCCCTGCCCAGACCTTTGCCATGGCCTCCTGGAGCAGAGCCATGCTGAGGGCTACTTCTGAGCATGAACCACTGAAGGACAAGGCCAACGTCTCCCACTGCACCAGCTCACAGGCAATAGGAACTCAAAGTTCTGAAGATTCGTGAAGACAGCACAAAGGCCAGATGGTCATCTTAGGGCACTGTCCTCTCCTCAGTCCAAAGACCCTGCTTTCTCAGGAGCCACATTCTTACACTCCTCCAGCTGCAACCTGTGTGAGGTCAATGCTTCTCCACACACTTTCTGCTAAAACATTTGGAGGTACCCTAAATCCAATATAATCCAGGTTCAATCTACCATTCTGGGGAGAAACTATTGGATTATAGTTCTAAGCATTTTAAGAAGTAACATTGATTTTTCCTTGCTCCTCCCACAGGGAGCTTAGGTTTATTGAGTAACCCATGACAGTGTTCCCGAGGCACATCCAATCCATCAGGCAATCATAATCCTCTGTGTTTATCTTTAAACTCTCCTTTGTGCTTTTCTTCCCCTATCTGTTAATCACAAATATCTCCAAATCTACTCTAACCTGTAGGCCAATTCTTGTGAAGGTTCTGTATTTGTCTATGTGATTGAAATTTGCTTTTCTCTTTCCTTCATGTCCTTTACATAGTTTACTTTAGAGCACTGTCCTTTTTGAATACACACAGGAAAACAATGCTATGCATTTGTACTTTGGGAGTTAACTGACTCCAAATAATATTAAGTCCTGGGCATCTATCATATTTACTTGACTTAAGTTGCCTCAGTTTCCCTTACTTCCTCGGGGATCCTGGTGAGTGATTTGGATTTGGTTGGACTCAGGACAAGTTATAGCTACCCACATTGTAAAGGGATGGTTTAAGTGCCATGAGAATTCTAATAAGTTAAGAGTATAATCATGGAATAAACTCTGTCATGACCCAAAAAGATGTAACTGAATGCGGGGCCACCCCAGGTAGAAATAGGTTTTGTGCCTTGGTCTGTTTGATCCCCCCTGGTGGCTCCATGACCACCATCCTCCAGTGGCCATTGGACAGTCAGGTTTGGGCCCGCAGTGACAAGACATACCGGGCCTCACGGGTGGGGGTGAAGATGGCTCTTTCTTCCCCGCCCCAACAAGACCCCGAGTTGCTGCCCACGAATGGCCTCTCGTGCTCCTGATCAAGCTGCTTAATGGCCATGATCCCAGAGACTCAGAAACAAATCTCAGAACCCAGTGACTTTTGGCAGAAATGTGTCTGGTCCCCACAGTATGTTACCGGCACCGGGTCAACCCGGGGGGAAAGGGTGCTATCCCTCCACCTGCACCCTCTTGGTGGCTTGGTGGCTGCCATCCTCCAGAGGCCATTGGACAGTCAGGTTTGGGCCCCCAGTGATGAGACATGTGGGACCTCACGGGATAGTGGTGGAGCCAGCCCTTTCCTCCCCACCCCAACGAAACCCCGAGTTGCTGCCCACAAATGGCCTCTCTGGCTCCTGATCAAGCTGCTTAATGGCCATGATCCCAGAGACTCAGAAACAAATCTTGGAACCCAGCGGCTTTTGGCAGAAATGCATCTGGTCCCTGCAATAGATTAACGGTGCTGGGTTACCTCAGGTGGGAATAGGTTTTGTGCCTTGGCCTGCTCCCCCTTGGTGGTTTGGTGGCCGCCTCTGCCAGAGACCATTGGACAGTCAGGTTTGTTTGGGCCCACAGTGACGAGACATGCGGGGCCTCATGGGATAGCAGTAGAGCCGTCCCTTTCCTCCCCACCCCAACGAGAATGCGAGTCGCCGCCCACAAACGGCCTCTCTGGCTCCTGATCAAGCTGCTTAATGGCCATGATCCCAGAGACTCAGAAACAAATCTTGGAACCCAGCGGCTTTTGGCAGAAATGAGTCTGGTCCCTGCAGTAGGTTAACAGTTCTGGGCCACCCCAGGTTGGAATAGGTTTCATGCCTTGGCCTGTTCCCCCTGGCGGCTTGGTGACCACCATCCTCCAGAGGCCATTGGACAGTCAGATTTGGGCCTGCAGTGATGAGACACATGGGGTCTCACGTGATGGGGGTAGAACCGACCCTTTTCTCCCTGCCCCAAGGAGACCCTGGGTTGCCACCCACAAACAGCCTCTCTCCATCAAGCTGCTTAACGGCCATAATCCCAGAGACTCAGAAACAAATCTCTGAATCCAGCAGGTTTTGGCAGAAATCCCTCCAGATTTAATTGTTAAAATTTTCAGAATTCCAAAATTGTGTGGCCACCACTGTGGCCACGCAACATCATATGTTATTAATAATCAGCAATAGAAAACAAATTGTCTATGGTTGCCTTTTCGGAAGATCCAAATGTTGGGGTAAAATCCCAAATAATAATGGTGGGTCTGGTGTTGAAATATTGAATGTAATCAAATTAGAGAGAGAGAGTAATGTGGAAATCATCTGCCCCACAGGCAGGGGGAGGGTATGGGGTGGGGGTTATGCTGGGGTTTTTGGTGGTGGAAAATGGGCACTGGTGAAGGGATGGGTGTTTCATCATTGTATGACCGAGACTTAGACCCAAAAGCTTTGTAACTGCTCTCATGGTGATTCAATAAATAAATTTATAAAAAGGAAAAAAAATGTAAGGCCTAGTTCATGACCAATTTAGTCAGCCTAATCAATGGCTGAATAAATAGCAATACTCCTACATTTAAAAAAATAATAATAATAAACTGCTTTTCTGCCCAAATTTTGAAGTTTATTCACTTCCTATAGTAATACTAAATGCTCTTTTATTTATTCAACTTAATATTTCAAAATCTCTTTTTGATGAAATGTTCATATACAATTAGTAATAACGTAAGTGATGTTGACATTTCTGTAAAGACAACTTCTTTAATAAAATGTAATTTTTTAATCCCCCCCAAAAAAGATGTATCTGAAAGAAGACCCTGCTGGGGTTAGGAAAACTAACCTGATCTGAAAACTGTAGACCGTGGCCGTGGCGTCTACAGACCGTTTGCTCTCTAACTGTCTGAGGGATGTCTCTGTTCTCTCAAAGTCTAGGCAGCTGTGATCTGGGATAACAGGAACAGAGGTCGTTCTACCCTCCAGCGTCTGTCTGGGCTGGTGTCAGAGCAGCCACTCCTGGCACCTTCTCTGGCAGCCATCAGCTTGGCCATTTGCTGCCCTCACTCTGCTCTGTGATTGTTCCTGCTCTGTCTCCTTCTCTACTTGCTCATAGCCTAGAAATACTGCACTTTCTCTATTTCTCTGTCTCTCTCTATCTCTGTCTCTGTCTCTCTCTGTCACCGACTTTCTGTCTCTGTTTCTGTCTGTTTCTATCTCTTTCTCTGTCTGTCTCTGTATGTCTCTGTCTCTGTCTCTGCCTCTATCTCCTGCCCTCCATAGGCTCTGGGCTCATCTTTGTGGCCTGGAGCAACCGAGAGTGACAACCCCTTTTTCTGACTGCTCCCCTCTAGCCTGTTCACTCAGGGCTTCCTCCTCCCTCTGGATGGCTCATTCTCAAGGACCCCTACATTCTCGGGGAACTCTCTTTCATGGGCATGCAGCCCAAAACTAGTTCTGTGGGGAAGCATCTTTCTACAGACTGTCAAGCACTCAGAAATTCAAGTGATAGGGACTCACTCTTTTCTCTGAGTCTGGGCTGTGGGACCCTATTCTCATGGCCCAGCTGTTTTGCTCCAAAACAAGGACTCATTCCCATCCTGGTTTCCCAAAAATGTCATCAGGTGGTAGCCTCTTGCAACCAGAGGCCTAACTGCTCAGTGTGGGAGGAAATCGAATACATCTACTAAAGCCTTACAGAGACTCAGTGTCCTCATCTGCCAAATGGGGACAGGAATAGTGTGCCGGGGGCCGGGGCTCAGCATTCAGCAGTGGAGCACTTGTCTTCTTGTCTTGCTTTTTTTTTTTCTTTGCAAGATAATCTTCTCAAGTTCTGTGCAGCTATATTTATTTATTTATTTTAATGTATCATCACGAGGTACCATTACAGATTTACAAACTTTTGTGCTTACGTTTCAGTCATACAATAATCTAGTACCCATCCCTCCACCAGTGCCCATTCTCCACCACCAATAATCCCAGTGTCCCTCCCACAACCCCCTGCCTATGTGTCAAGCACATTTCCTTTTGCTCTCTCTCTCCTTTTGGGTGTTGTGGTTTGCAATACAGGTATTAAATGGCCATCATATTCTGTCTATGGTCTACTTTCAGTAGACATCTCCCATCCTGAGAGGCCCTGCATGTCACCCTCAGCACCATAAAACAGAAAAGAAACAATAAATGATTTCCTTGGCTCCGTCTACCCAAGAGCTGTCCAAATCAGCCCGATGAATCATTTCTGTCCCTTCACTTTATCAGACTGTCTCCAGCTCTCCCTTGGTTACTCTCACCCCTAGATTATAGGAATAACAAGGATAGAGAAGGAAAGAAATGAATTGGGGGAGTAGAAGACGGGGATGGGAGGTCACGGGCAGGGGTAGTGATCTTGGGCACATCCGTGATGTATAGGTGTGGAATTTGGATGTTTCTGGGCCACAGAACCAGCAACTATACAAGAATGATACCCAAATAACAACCAAATTTTAACATATGCCTGCTAAGGAATCAGCCTGGGGGTGGGAGGGAATCCGGGGATTGATGGAGGGAAGTTGATGCTGGTGCTAGGATTGTCCCTAGAACACTGTATGCCTGAAAATCTATTACGAACAATTATGGTGCCTAAATATAATAAGCTTTTTAAAAAACCTTTTTATTGAATCACTGTGAGATAGACCCTTACAAAGCTGATGATGACTGGATTTCAGTCATACAATATTCCAAAACCCACCCCTCTACCAGTGCACATTTCCCAGCACCAGTGACCCCAGGTTCCCAACCCCCCTCACCCCTCCCTCCCCTTCCTGCCTCTATGACAGGCACCTCTCTCTCTCTCTCTCTCTCTCTCTCTCTCTCTCTCTCTCTCTCTCTCTCTCTCTCCTCTCTCTGTATTTCAGCACTGTGGTTTGCATTATTGATACTGAAAGGTTATCAAGAATATCCCTTAACCTACTTTAAACACTCAGTTCTTGTCCAGCATAATCATACCCAGCTATTATTGTCATACTGGTCTCTTCTCTAACTACTTTTAGTACCACACACACACTGTGGTTATATGCAACCATTGACCAGTCCTCCTCACCCCTGTTTTTCCAGGCCATGAATATTAGTCTTCTACTATGTATATAGCACAGAGGATAGGGCATTTGCCTTGCACGCAGTCAGCCAACTGGGCTGACCCAGGTTCGATTCCTCCGCCTCTCTCGGAGAGCACAGCAAGCTACAGAGAATATCTCACCCGCACAGCAAAGCCTGGCAAGCTCCCCGTGACATAGTTGATATGCCAAACACAGTAACAAGTGTCACAATGGAGACGTTACTGAGTCTGCTCGAGCAAATCGATGAACAATGGGAGGACAGTGATAGTGACAGTGACTCTGTGTGTGTGTGTGTGTATGTATGTGTGTAAATATGTTGGGGCTGGACTGAGCTGTCAGAATAAGCACATCTAGACTGTACCACACAATGGGCAGAAACATAGGGACCCATGAAAATGGGCGAGATTTCTCGTGTGTCCTGACTCGTTTGGATAAAGCTGAACATCTTTTTCCTTTAAGTTGCCTTCAGTAAATAATTTCATAAATTTCATTATATTGAAAGAGTCAGTTTTTTCCTTTTCTCACAGAAGCCCAGCCTGATTTTTGACATATAGATTCAGGGCTCTGGCCCAGCCTAGTCTTTGGGATGCAACTTTAAGATGCTTGCCCAGTTTGTCTTTGGGATGTAGATTTCAGGTGCCAGCCCAGTCTTGTCTTTGGGATGCCGACTCAAAGAGCCCAAGAAAGGTTTCAGTTTCGGTTTTGTATCTCTTTCCTTAACCAAAATTTACTGGCCTGTGGACACAAGGAAACAACACCTGCTTGGCCTGCCTCAATGTTCTTGCTGTGACTTCTTTTGATGACATCACTGTATTGAGCCCTTTAGAGTGTGGGCAGTAGGATGGTAATAAAAGGAGATTTCGGTGCTCACTACCTTTGTCACAGATCAAAGAGAACCTGGACCCTCCGTGACATAAATTTCTCTTGCGTTCCTTGTCTCAGCACCTCTGACTGCATGAATATTCATGCAACAACATATGTACTTGTATAGCAAAAATGGCGAGGGGGTCTGTGGGCAAGGCTCAGTGACCAGGTGCTCCGGGGGCCACTGCCATGTTGGTACTGGGCGAGTACCAGTGACACTGCAATTCCATCAACTTGGACTTGAGCAGAGAGTGCCGGGGTGGCGGGGACTGGGGCCGGCCGGCGACGCCGGGGAGCAGGAGGAGGTGCACTACATCCCCATCCACGTGCTGGGCCTTGGTGCCTTCGGGGGAGGCCACACTGTACTGCCGCACCTAGGTAGCAGCCCTGGCCAGGGTTGGGGGCGACCCCGGCTTCCTGCACCACAGAGCTCCCCCACACACACCCAGTGCGCACCATCTGTGCCCTCGGGGAAACCTCGAGCACACTCCCCCCCACACACATCGCCCCCGCGCATGCACTCACGCACGCATTCACGTCCCAGGGCAGGGGCTTGGTGGACAGTCTGGCCACCGGTGCCCACCCTTCCTTCCCCCCTCGCTGCGTGGCTCCCTGAGGTCCAGGTGGGCAGCAGGGGAGCCCAGCGGCCGGCTGGCCCACGCTGCACCTGAAGCGGAGGTGTTGAGTTGCCACGGGCAAGTTGCTCCCCGTTTATCCAGTAGTGTGGAGGCGTTGGAAAGGGCTCGGCCTGGATTATTCCAGAAGACAATTTCCTCCTCTCGCCCGTGGCCCTTCCCTGCCCCTTCTCCTGGGATAAGCCCCAGGTCTGGCACGTTCCAGGCCCACTTCGCCTAAAAGCCTTTTATTCCGAAGCCTGGAGGGGCCTGATGTGAGTAGCTACACCTCCCATGGCATTTGCATACATGCAGGCCCTTTGAGGAGTTGCTCCGGAGAACTGACGCCCCTCCCCCCCCATTCAAATACCTTTTAAGGGACTCCTGAGAGATAGTACTTGGCTTGCACTGCAAGGCCAAGCCCCTGACCTGGGTTCCAACCCCTGGCACTGCAGGGCACCTCTGGGTGTGGTTTGCCAAACCACGAAACACAAAAGAATGTGTACTGATCCCAGGCCCCAGGGAATGGGGTCTGTGTGATCAAAAACAGTGTTCTGGGTTTGAGTCCTCCAAAGTTTGTTCTAGGAATCACCGTTTAATGAGGGTCTGATGGGGTTGATGGGGGAGAGCTGGTTGTTAAAGAGTATCACACAATGAGAAGATTGACTAAGTACCCTGGTGACTTGATGTGTAAGGAAATGAAGACATGTTTAAATGATTTGCCCATAGATTTGAAGTAAATCTTTGACTAGAGTGGAGTTTCACATTCCTCTTTCTCTAGTCTTTCGTAATGGTGTGGGGTCTGAGTACTGAGGTTGTTTTAAATTTTATTACACTGGGCTGGGGACGGAGCTCAGCTGTCATAAGTATATGTATCATATGCCTTGCATGTGGTAAAGGCCCTGTGTTCCATCCCTGGCACCCTTTCCCCCAGTTTTTTGTAGGGCTTTTACCTTGCTCGAGGCCGACCTGGCCAACCCAGGTTTGATTTCTCCTCCCTCTCGGAGAGCCTGGCAAGCTACTGAGAGTATCTCACTGGCACAGCAAAGCCTGGCAAGCTACCCGTGACTTATTCCATATGCCAAACACAGTAACAAGTTTCACAATGGAGATGTTTCTGGGCCCGTTCAAGCAAATCGATGAACAAAGGGAGGACAGTGATAGTGACAGTAAAGGTAAAGGCCCTCCCGTTGATCGTTGATTTGCTCGAGCGGGCCCAGTAAAGTCTCCATTGGAGACTTTGTTGTTACTGTGTCTGGCATATCGAATACTCTCGGTAACTTGTGTAAGGCGAATGCCCTACCGCTGTGCTATCACTCAAGGGGCTGGAGCGATAGCACAGCGGTGGGGTGTTCGCCTTACAAGCGGCCAACATGG